AGATGCTTCAAATCTTTTCGGTTGCTCGTTCGAGAACTATATATATATATATATATATATATATATATATACGTTTAGTTGAGAACAATATAGCAGTATGATGCAGCTTACAAATAGACTAGTACAGAAAACAATAAAACTGGGATGATGACTTTTGTCTTTTTGGCTCCTTGTACTGCCTCCTTTTCCAGTAGTAGTGCAGATTTTCAGTAGACTCCAGCTCAAACATTAGATAACTACGCGGTTTCTAGTGTCATCTTTTGATTTGCATGGTCCGCTCTTTCTTCTTTTTCTTCTAATCTTTTCAAATTCTTAGTTGGATGGATGGTGATTTGAAGGGATGAAAAAGGAAAGAAACCAATAGCACAGTAACTGAATTATTCCTCCTCCTGCTTAGCAGACCTCAATTTATGAGGAAAACAACTGGATTGTAGCTGGCAACTTCTCCAACTTGTCTCCCTTTTCAGGTTTTAGAGTACATTTTCAAGTAAATTAACATCTTTTTAGAAACTAGACCACAATGTTGAGCTATAGTGAGGGAAAAAAAAAGAAAGAACAACTCGATGCATAAAGCGTCCCGCATTTACACAATGCCCGAGGAAGGGTTGTACCTCCAAGGGATGTGATATAGATAGTCTATCCTGATGCTAACATTAGTAGCTGCTTCCATGGCTATACTGAAACAATAATGAAATAGCTTTGACATTGGGAGCATCACATTATTTCCTAGAGCGTGTTTGGTTTACCTCATTAACAAAATTAATCTCAAAATAAATTCTACTTAAATAATAGAATGTTTAATTGTTTATACAAGAAAAAAAAAATCTGTGATAACCAACGTTTGTTGCGGTTAGTGAACTCTGTATTGCTAATACAGTCACAAGTTATGCAAAAATATCATATTATCTTAGATGAAATAGAATGTACAAAATAGAATAATCTTTAAAGTAAATAATTCCTACATAATAATTTTTATATTGTTATCTTAAAGTAAATAATTCTTACATCGTTACAGATCACATAACAAGCCTCTTTTATTAGTCACTCCTTCAAACAAGTAGAACTAAGTGTCTCCTGCTCAAATATGTTGCAGACTTTCATATTCCTTTCTGTTCAAATTAAAAATGAATAAATTGGAGACAGCAAAATATGAGTCCGGAACCCAATTGTGTTTTTTTTGGACTCAAAATACATAAATAGATGGGAAAAAAAGGTGACATTTTTATGTATAGCGCCAAGTATTGTGGCGCTATACTGAAAAAGCTGACACGCCTAGGTATAGCGCCACAATACCTGGCGCTATACATAAGTTTTATAATTCGAACTGTCTTCTTCATCTCCTCTGGTTCTCCTCTTCCTCAATTTTTTACTCCCTTGGTCCCCCCATACCCGCTGCCCCCAATTTTTTTTTAAAAAAAATTTCTGGGTCCCCCCGTTACATAATACTTGAAGAATGTAGGTCCCACATTCGAGTAGAGCTTCGTATTATTGTTGATTCACATTTCCGGAGTCAAAATTTCAATTTATTTGCTTTTCCGAAAATTCTAAATCGAGGTATTTCGGTTTATTTTAAGTTGAAACTTTGATAATAATGCATATTATTTGTTTGTATGTGTTCTATTTCGATTTGTGTTTTTTATTTAGAAACTAGCATATTAAATTTATCCGAATTTAATATTAGTGTTTTATAAAAAAATATAAATTTGTGTGTTAATACCCTGATTTATATATATGTGTTTTCATGCCTTTTTGTGTTTTATTTGCAATTAAATTTATTTGTTGTTAATGTTTAGTTTAGATTATTTTTTAGCATAGTAAAATCTAGACCTTTTTAGCGTAGTAAAACGTAGACCCTTTTAGCGTAGTAAAATTTAGAGCCTTGTAGCGTAGTAATGTGTAGTATTTTCCGAGCCTCAAAATATCGAGCCTGGAACCNCGAACACTTCGGGCAACCTAGTAAGCCTCCGTTTTCTGCATCATATTGCCCGATTCGAGGATACAACCATCTACAGCTGGGGTTGTGCTGTCATCTCATATCTGTACAAGCAGATGTGTCGGGCTTGCATCGGCACGCAGATAGACGTTGGTGGCTTTCTGCCGCTTCTACAGGTGACAACATATTCAAATAATATGTCCATTAGTTACAATTCTACCTAGTTATAGTTAATCTTATACTTTACGTCAACTTTGTATGTTAGGTTTGGGTCTGGGAGCGATTTCTGTAGTTTCAGCCACCTCTACCACAGCTACCGACTAATGTGGAAATTTCGCAACTCCCTCTAGCCTGTAGGTGGGTTATGCGTCATACTCTTGCACGAGAGTATGATGCCCATCATAATCTCTCCCTCTGCAGGGATTTGTTGGATCTGCTGGAGGACGCACATGTGAATATCTAACTAAACTTAAGTGTGCATTTTACAAGCCCTACTTAAGTGTGCTTTATCACGAAAAAGCATCTCCTTTGCAAGCACCGTTGGTATAGACTCATCCCACATTGCTGTCCGGATTTCATCAAAATCTCTTGTGAGAGCTTCTACATCCGGCACGGTTGGCAAGTTATCAATGTAAGGAATCTCCCTTGAATGAAACGGCACTTCGGACTCGTACACTCTTCGTCTATGGGGGTCTCTATTCAAATCAGGTCCTTCCTCCTCATCCTGCTCATCATCATCCTTACGAAAAAAAGGTGCCTCGTCTCTGGATTTATCGGCATTGTTATCGTAATCACTGTTCTGTTCCTCACTCTGTGCATCTGCCATATCCCGATGTAATACGTCGTTTTTGGTCAATTGAGTGAGTACAGGTGGTTCAACTTGCTCGTTTTCACTGCACAACCAACAAAAATATAAGCTACTGAAATTAATAAATGCTTTCCATATGGCTATATCACTTCACTTACAAGTCGTAATGTGATGAAATTCTATGATGGACGTTTTCAATTAGGTGATGACTACCAGATGGGTCACTTGTAAAATTCATATCCGGCCGGTACCCCCTATTAGATATATGAGCATTAATACAAATTCAATACGCCAAAAATATACATAATTAACACAAATGAAAATTGAACTTTGTCACTCGTCTTGTGAATTATGGAAAGCAAGGTATAAATTATTTTCTTGCTGCTCATTCGCCGACGGTNCGTCGATGTTAAACTCCGAGTAAAAAGCAACCCCTTGCGGAGTGACGAAATACAGATATCTTCCGGTTACTTTAAGTATCACTGAACATTTTCTCACACTCATTTTTTTGCATAACAACGATATCAATTTATCGTACTCTATTGTAAGTGGCAATTTAACATGACACTGAGCAGGTAAACTGTAGCCCACGGAGTTATTCTCCATCACAACCTCACCCCCCCTCCAATATAATGAAACTCTTATTCTACGCTCTTCGGATATAATGAAAATATGTTGGAGAATTTAACAACAGTAAAAGTTTCAACAAGAGTTAAATTTTTTTTTGAATGAATTTGTATACAATCCTAATCTCTTTATATAGGAAATGGCTAGTCGAGAATTTTTTTTTTATATATATATAGCGCCCAAAAAGTTGGCACTATACACTTTTGAATTATTGAAGTCAGGAATTGTTGGTGGGGCCAGGAAAAAGGAGTATAGCGCCAAAATATCAGGCGCTATATATAAAACTTATGTATAGCGCCAAGTATTGTGGCGCTATATCTGGACGTATCAGCTTTTTCAGTATAGCGCCACAATACTTGGCGCTATACAGTAACGACACAGTTAACGTTACTGTATAGCGCCAAGTATTATGGTTCTATATATAAAAATGTCACTTTTTTTTCCACCTATTTACTAAGTGAAGGACACTTAGTAAAGTTTCTAATACACCAGCTGTACATTGAATCTTTGTTAGGCATGGCACATCATCAACATCATTTGTTGGCTACTGTCTGCCTCAATCCTGTTTTCAGGACCATCCTTCGTATTTCGAGCCCACTGAAACTTCCAAAATTGGCCAAAAACAGAAGCAATAATATAGTACCAAAGTAAAGGCAGGTTACCATTCTCCACTTTATTCTTAAGCACTTGTAAGCAGAGGGTGGAATGAGGATTTGGTGGCCGAGTGACATTCAATATAAATTTATTACTGTTTATAATGATTAGTACGGTAGCCTATGCTAATATTTAACTATATTTTAAAAATATTTGTAAGTATATATAGACTTTTTATTAAAATTTTCGGGCATTGGTGACCCTTTAAATTAACATTTGCGTCCGCCTCTGCAGTGGTAAGGACAAGGTTTATCTTAGGTTTACATTCAAATGTTAAAAACAGTTTACTTATGAAAAAAAACTTCTTAATGTAAAATATAAATAATGCTATATATTCAGCACCCTGATTAGTGTTTTGATCAAGTTAATAGATACAAGACTCCTTAACAAACTTTTATTAGTATAGATAATAAGTAAATTTAATACCATCACTATGATATAATCAATTGTAATAAGTAATAAATTAGTACTTACTATCTTTTGAAGTTAGCAGTCATGTTTGCCAGAGGCGGATGGAGTTTAAAATAACATGATTCAACTGAACTCATTATTTTTAATGCAGAGCATAAGTTTGTGAGTAAAAATTACTAAATTGCAATAAATAATAGATATGATTGAGTGTCACTATATTCTGTTATCCAAAAATAATGAGTATCAAAGAAGTGGTCGGTTGATTGAGATCCCTCGTCCTTAATCAAAGATTACAAGTTTGAAACGTGTGAATGAAGATCGTTTGTTGGGAGCTCGCTACCTCCCTCTAAGGGTCTAGCCCAGAGGTAGATCTATATTTTATAGTGAGGGGTTACCGAACTTTGTAAGCTTCGGCAAAAAATTTGTATATGTATATTTATATACCTTGAAAATAGTTAATTTAAAATAGACATTCTGATTACTAAAAGTCTGATCCGAATTAATCAAGCTAGTAAATTTCGAATATGGTGGGTCAAAAAATAGTATAAAGGAAGTGAATAACAACAGATGAAAAAAAAAGTAGGGAAGACCAGGACTGACTGTTCCACTTTGATGATCCATGGTGCATGCATAAATAAGCTGTTATTTAAAGTAAAACTAGGGGCAATTAGATCACGAGATTCCTATAAATTATACGCACTGAGTTTCTTGCACCCAAAAAACCAGTTCCAAACTACAAAGAAACTAAGGCAAAGACCAAGAAAACATTCTGTCTCATTCAAAAACTCAACAAAAATGACTTCAAGATTGCTTCTACTTTTCACCTTCTTCCTCTTCTGCCTACTTGCTCATGTAAAGTTGAAATCATTTTTCACCTAATTATTCCCATACAATTTTTTTTCTTTTGTGGAATTAGTCTAATGTTATTTTCTTTGCAGGTCTCTTCTGATATTGATATTGAAGAAAAGCAAACTCAGGTGTTTCTTTACTCTTTTTCCATCATTTAACCCAAAAAGAAATTGATACTTCAACTAAACGGCATAAAATTTCCATCATATCTTATGACCTAATATACTTGAGGTAGGGTACATCTTCTTAAACATAGTATAAAAGCTGGACTCATCTCTCTTCTTGATTTACTAATGTAAGTCCCTCATGTTATATTGTTTACGTTCTAAATGTTTAGAATGTCTATGTTAATTGTGGGAATCGGTGACGAAGCCACTTCACATATATTGAAGGGTGATCAATTGACACTTGTATTGCATATATAGGTATAAAAATTATTTTTTATATGTGTTTATTAAATCTTAGAACACCTTTCCCGAAATCTTTGCTTTGCCACTAGTGGAAATAGTAGCTGTTTTATTATCTTGGACAACCCTCACTTGCCAGCTTCTAAAATAGGTGTTTGGTCAAAGGTTCGTTACATGAGTTCGGCCGAATGTTATTTTCTTATAAACTAAGTGGATGAACTTTAAGTATGAATAATTTCTCTATTACCTTCTTGTTTGACATTATATTGTATGTGCAAATCTTTATTAGGTGGTGAAAGGAGCTAACAGGAGGCTCTTGCCATATGTAGGTAATTATCAATCTATTTCATCTCAAAAGGAAAAGAACTTGAGTTTTGACAACTCTGTTTTTTGTTGGGAAGTACAGATTGTGGAGGACTGTGCAAAGTGAGATGCAGTTCACACTCAAGGCCAAATGTATGCACCAGAGCCTGTGGGACTTGTTGTATGAGATGCAAATGTGTTCCTCCTGGTACTTCTGGTAACAGACAAGTATGTGGTAAATGCTACACAGATATGACTACTCATGGCAACAGGACCAAGTGCCCTTAATTAAAATGCTTGTCTAAGACGTAGTTTTTGTTGTTACATAGCTAGTTACTCATGTAGGACTTTAATTTATACTCAACCTTGTTTTTTGTTTTTTTTTCAATTTTCTAAGTTTGTTTTATTACCACCCCAAGAAAAAGAAAAAAAATAGGTGAGAATATGTGTTTTGAGCTTTCTGATGTAAAAAGTTAATCCTGTGCGGTTCCTCGCATAGAGACGTTTAATTTCTTAGGGTTGAATTTCAATGTCAAAGTTTCAGTTTTCATGACTGGCTAGTTTATTGTTCTTGAATTACAGCTTATAATTTGCAATCCAAGTTTAAAGTAATGCTCTTAAATTACTTCATACAAGACAAATTTGAAAGGTTATCAGTATAAAGAAAACATAAGTTTTGGTTGATTGGGTGCGTCGATCCATATGCTGATAGGACATAGCATGTATCCGGAATAGTAGTGAAAAATTATGTTGCTCGGACTCTCTAAAAGTGTTGCCGTACCCGTGTCCGATCCTCCCGAAATACACTAAATTTGGAGGATCCGAAGCACCCAACAATTCTTTCGAGTAACATAGGTGAAAAAAGATATTATCCATGCAAACAATTTAAGTCCATCCAGGATGAAAAAGTTCAGTTAGCTAGCTTTCCCTAGCATGTATCTTCAAGTTCTGCACATACAGATAAACATATATTGAGAACTAGTGGTTTTTTCCATTTATAGCACACATAAAAATGGAAAAGAAATATAGAACAACCATATAAAACCCATATGGAAAAAACTGATTTGGTGCATGGAGATCCATATAAATAGCCGGTCCGCCAGATCCCATGAAAAGGTTGTCCATTTTATGCGGGTGACCCAACTCAGCCTCGTGTTATGAGTAGGTAAAAATTGTACGGGGTAGTCACTTTTTAAAGTGTATTTATTTTTATGAAAATGCTTAGCAATAATAGCCACTAGTCTATTAAAATTAATATGAAAAGACTATATTACCCTTTCTTCTAACTCTTTCATGTTAGGGAGAAGAACTGTGCCACCGTCTGTGAGATAGCGATTGCCATGGACTCCATTGGATTCTCTTTTTGTAGGTGTCTCCGACTCTGGATGATAATTTGATTAATTTCTCATATAATCAATGGGTTTACAGAGGATATCCACTGATGACAAACATCTTCGTTTTGCATATTGCTACTTGATAGTGTGTGCATAAGACACTTGGTAGAAAAGATTCATTAGCAGAAGTTAGTACCTTTCTAGGACAAATTAGAACTATTTCCTCGTAAGATAGTTTGAATGAAGCATGGGAAATACACTTGGCAACTAATTTAAAGGATAAACTAGAACTTTTTATTTTGTAGATGGTGATAACTGTCTGTCCCGCATATAGCATGTAATAGTTTCTCTACTTTTGAACTTTTCATTACAAGTTCAAAAGTTAAGGACACTTGGTCCTGAACTTTGAGTTCCAAGTTCAAAATTTAAGGACACTTGGTCCTGAACTTAGAATTACAAGTTTAAAAGTTAAGGACACTTGGTCCTGAACTTTGAGTTCCAAGTTCAAAATTTAAGGACACTTGGTCCTGAACTTAGAATTACAAGTTTAAAAGTTAAGGACACTTGGTCCTGAACTTTGAGTTCCAAGTTCAAAATTTAAGGACACTTGGTCCTGAACTTAGAATTACAAGTTTAAAAGTTAAGGACACTTGGTCCTGAACTTAAACTAACAAGCTCAAAAGTTAAGGACAATAGGTCCTGAAGTTAGGCTAAGAAGCCCAAAAGTTAAGGACAATAAGTCCTGAACTTACAGTTACAAGTTCAAAAGTTAAGGACAATAGGTCCTGAAGTCCTGAACTTAGACTAACAAGCTCAAAAGTTAAGGACAATAAGTGTTCAACTTAGGCTAAAAAGCCCAAAAGTTAAGGATAATAGGTCATGAACTTAGACTAACAAGCTCAAAAGTTAAGGACACTTGGTCCCGAACTTAGAGTTTCAAGTTCAAAAGTTAAGGACAATAGGTCCTGAAGTCCTGAACTTAGACTAACAAGCTCAAAAGTTAAGGACACTTGGTCCCGAACTTAGAGTTTCAAGTTCAAAAGTTAAGGACATGTAGTCCTGAAGTCCTAAAGTTAAGTTCAAAAGCTAAGGACATGAGCAGAAGGGTATTTTCGTCCGGGTTGTTAAAGTTTATTAAAGCAGTGACTAAAGATTAAAGATATTTTAAACAATAGCTTAAAAGTAAATACATATGTTATTAGTGGCTAACCATGCACTTCTCCCTATGAGTAGTGGGCCCCAACCGGGCTATCACTTAGAAGAAGGCCCAAACTTTGGTCCATAGGGTCTGATAGTCAAAGCGCCCAGGTACATTACACAAATATCCTGCTTGATTTACTGTTTATCTTTTTTCACCAATATACATAAAATATAATACTTATTATATACATAATATATTTATATATATAATTATATATTCATCAGCTATTTTTAGTATAAGGCTTTGGATGTGCAACTATTTAGGTTAGTTGTTCTTTTTTAATACATATCACTATTGATCCTTCCATGTAGAAATGTTGCATGTTCGGATTATGCTATATGTTGACTAATACACGAATAATGTTGACTAATACAAAGCCTTTTTTGGGTAATTTAGCTCTGCGTATCAACTTCGCCTACTAATAGGCTAGAATTTAATCCATTTTTTATCTATTGGCATTAGGTAGCTGATAATTGTGTATCACAATTCACAATAATAATAATAATAATAATAATAATAATAATAATAATAATAATAATAATAATAATAATAATAATCATATATATATCAAAATTTTTATCACAACTTTTTTTTTTTTTTTTGTGTATATCACAATGTATATCAAATTTGTATTTCCTTCTTCCTATATCAAAGATATGAAATTATAAATATTGTTGTCTATAATTTATTGTTGTCTTTATATCCAAGTATATAACATAAAATAATTACATTATTTGTATATCACATCAAATAATGTGTATACCGAAATATATATTACAACTTTATTTTTCTTATTTGTTTATATCAAAATATATATATCAAAAATTAATTTTTATACATTTCAGTGTATAACACATAATTTATTGTGGATATACACAAATATATACGTTGCAGATACATTGATACTATGAATAAAATAAAAGGAGAGAGGGGAGAGATAGAAAATAATAAGCAAAGTTATTTTTCTCGTTAGGAAAAGAATAACAATTTTGCGTAGGCTCCCTAAACCATGAGAGGGAGGAGAGTTACAAGAAGAATACGGGGGAGAGAGATAGAGGGAGCGACAAAAAGAGGTAGAGCTAGGACTACGAGGAGAGAGAATAAGTAGGTTGTGTTATAAATAGAATTGTATTCTAGGTGAATGTCTATCTTTTAGAGAGTTTGTTACTTTGTATCTAAGTCATTTTTTTCCCTATAAATAGAGGGGTTTTATCCCATTGTAATCTCATCTCAAAATCAATATAATTCTCTCTTTCCTTTCTTTGCAATATTCTTCTTTCTTTTATTGTTTTATTTCACTTTATCAGCACGAGACTCTAGTACTCTACTGTCTCAAGAAGCTCTTCGAGAAGACTAAGGTATAACTTTTCTCCTCTTTTAACTATGATTGATATTATGAAACGAAAGTTCTTACCCTTGAAATTTCGGGCAAGAACTATATGTCATGAGTGTTGGATGCTGAAATCCATTTAGATGAAATGGGTCTTGGAGACGCCATTAAAGATAAAATAAAGCATCTACCCAAGACTATGCTAAGGCCTTGATTTTCTTGCATTATCACTTTGATGAAGGGTTGAAAATAGAATACCTCACAGTCAAAGATCCACTTGTTTTGTGGAATGATTTAAAAAAAAGATAGGAACTACAACTAAGAGAGAATAAAAATAAAAAGAATTGCTTAAGTAAGATAGTCGCTTCTTTTTTTCGGTATGCCGCTCCGCGAGCAAAGATTGCCACGCACGAGAGGAGCGAAAAGAAAGCGAGGGGAATTCTCTCTTTTTTCGAGGAGAAATCCTTTGATTGTGTATTGCATATAGATCTATATCTTTCTTGCTCCACTAGCTAAGACCAAATTCTCACATGTTCCTTTCGTTATTACAACCTTAAATTTTGATGTCAAAGACCAGAAGCTACGCACAAATTCTCATTGGGTCTCGGTTGTTCTTAATAATGATGGCTATTCAATATGAAATTTAAAGTTGGTTACACTTCCACAAGCACGATATGATTGAGCTCATCTGAGGTTCCAAGACTTTAAGTTTGTTTCTGAATACAATTTGGCAATGTTCAGAATTACCTCTAAATAAAAGCTTTGTGGAGATAATATTTGTGACTATGATATGCTTGAAAAAATGTTCAGAACGTTTCATGCCTCCAATATGGTCCTGCAACAGCAGTATCGAGAGAAAGGTTTCAAGAAGTACTCTCAGTTGATTTCAATTCTCCCTGTGGCTAAGCGAAACAATGAGTTGCTCAATGACAAATTACGATAATCGACCCACCGGGTCTACATCATTTCCCGAAGTAAATGAGGTGTATTCCCATTATGCTAAGTGTGGAAAAGGTCATGGCCCTGTTCGTGGTCGTGGACAATGAAAAAGAAATTTGGTGTTAATCATCCCCCAAAGAAAAATAACCACCAAAAGTGAAAAGGGAAATATGAGAAGCCAAAAGCAAAGGGTTCATAAACTGAATGTTATCGTTGCGGTGAAAAAAGGGCATTGGGCAAATATTTGTCGTACACCAAGACATTTGGTTGAACTTTTTTTGAAATTTGAATACATATACAGAGCCAGCGCAGCGGAAATTAAACAAGTTCAGCCATGCTTGTTCAAGTGATGAGAGGAATTCCTTGGATTGAGAGAAAACCTAAGGAGTCTTCTAGCCTGTGCCTATCATAGGATTCCAGATTGATGAAGTCATAGGCGTATTTATAGGTAGGCTAGGGACTCTTAGGCAAATACTTTAGCCCTAGGGACTTCTCCATAAATTATAATTACCCTAGGGACTCCTAATATATGATAATTTCTTTCCATCAAAGAAACTACCATATATGCATAACTACAGAATATTATCTGATATATTATTTCCTTTGAGAGACAAGGTAAATAATTTATTACCTTATATGTGGGTCACACTAGAAATGTCTAGAAAGAGACGGTGAATTTTTTACATTCTCCCACTTGTCCCACATATTTAAAATCAGATAATCCTTTATGAGAGATAAAAATATAGTAT